GTAAAGTTTAACTGTAACTCACATGGCGCACCCTCAGCCTCAAAATGCGGAACGCGTTTTTGTGGTAACGGAAAATATGAACTCTCAGATTCACAGTTTGCGCAGGTCAACTACTAGGCCACGTTCTGCCAGAGCTATGACACAGTAAGAAATTGCGTCCAGAGAAAAAATACAACTATTGATAATAACAAAAACTGAAAAAAAAATTTTTTTTTCAGTTTCTACATCTATTTCTATTTAGATTATATTTAAAATTACCGTTTGCTCAATCTGTATTTCATTGGAATAAGTGTGAGTGAGATTAGCAAACAGCACAAATTTTCATGAACGTTTGTCTTCGTTCTGCATGTGAATCTATGGCAGAAATCAATAACTATTTACAAGTTGAAGTATACGAAAACACAAAGCCTTTAATATTTTTTAAATGAAATACAGACAAAAAAAATCAAAGAGGTTGCGCGAAATCAAATATATTTTATTCAAATGTACAATTTTTTTTTTTTTCAATTAGTGTATTTGTTAAGTATGTATCATTCTACTTCATGGCCCGGCATGGCCAGGTGGTTAAGGCGCTCGACTCGCAATCCCCGTCCCACCAAACATGCTCGTCCTTTCAGCTGTGGGGGTGTTATAATATGACGGTCAATCCCACTATTCGCTGGCAAAAGAGTAGCCCAAGAGTTGGTGGTGGGTGGTGATGACTAGCTGCCTTCCCTCTAATCTTACACTGCTAAATTAGGGACGGCTAGTTCAGATAGTCCTCGTGTAGCTTTGCGCGAACTTCATAACAAAGAAACAAACATTCTACTTAACAGCTGTGACTTTTTAATAAACATGTAGATTTGATAAAGAAAGTTCTGTTATGACCTTGCCCCCCAGTGGCACAGCGGTATGTCTGCGGACTTACAACGCTAGAATCCGGGTTTCGATACCCGTGGTGGGCAGAGCACAGATAGCCCTTGTGTAGCTTTGTGCATAATTAAAAACAAAACAAACTGTTATGACCAGCATGATAAATGTACTTGTGTCGATTTTACCACGCTTCTGATTTAAATATGCTTTGGCAATTTGGCCTTTCTTTGTCACATTAGTAGTCACGTAAAAAACAATGACCACGAGATATTTTGATCAAACGTTTTCATTCAGTATGTCCAAAAAAACAATATATTGCTTACAGAATTTTATTTCTATTTTTTGCCACTGGACCGGGCATACATGGTTTGTATTCCATTGCAGCATTAAAGTTACGTTGAACTTTGATTTTAATTGTATTTAGTTTTTGAAACAAAATATATTTCAAAGAACTGTACGGAATATTTCTGTTTTAAAGAAGTCAGTAAAACATATAAACTTAGCTAACATACTAAAATTTATTTTGGAAGATGCTAGTCGTTTAAGGTACAATGTGGTCGAATATATTAATGTATATATGTGAAATAATGTTATAATCATATCAGAAAGAGGTGCCTCAAGTGGCACAGCAGTATGTCTGCGGACTTATAACGCTAGAATCCGGGTTTCGATATCCGTGGTGGGCAGAGACAGATAGCCCATTGTGTAGCTTTATGCTTAATTACAAATAAACAACAAACAGAAAGAGTTATTCTTGAAGTTGAAAAAATTACAAATTACTATATATACATACGTAGATTTAGATTATTAATTCTATTTATAGAAACGTGTGAATTCTGATTTTAACATTAACAAACTAATAATGAAGTAAGTTGTATTAAATATACTGCTCAAAACGAAAGACAAAACATGCACGGACATAAAATATATAAAGCATCACTCTCAGTTCATTATTATAACAGTTAGGTACCTAATAATCAGTCACGTGATCTGAAATGCAAATTATTGCTCATTAAGCCTATATTACCTATAGTGGTCTCGTTCTGTTGTGTCACAATTATGACTTTGAAATGAACCATAGCGTTCAGTATTCCAAATTGTTCATGAATCATAGACAGAAACCAGAAAACATATTTAGATACTTTAGTCATGTGACTTGATGATGACAAAAACCTTCTCGAAACGTAGTTCATTTGTCACTGTGTTAAACGTTGCATCCAAGCCTGCCTGATGAGTCCTGATATTGGGCGAGAGGCCTCGTCGGCATTGGATATGACAGATGTAGTGTGGTTGACATATTTATAACATATTTTCCTTTGCTTTCACTCATAGGTTATTGGCATTGTAATGAAATGGTTTTCGTTACCCATTCAAGCCGTTTCTAAGCTATATTACTTTGAAAATGGGTTCCTCGTCATCAAACATATGAAGCAATATTCTTTTTACAAATCAGTTGTACTTCACATTGCAGCCAGATAACAGGCTTGTACTCATTTTGGAGAGAACCTGGAACGTTACCCACCCCGTTTTCATACATGAATGTGACGTTTATGGTGGTTGTAAAATTATTATGTGTGAACAGAAATAAGAATTATTAAAGTTACAGACCACTACGTCTTGCAAAATGGTACCCTTAATGCCACGTATGATATGTTTTACATCCTACGATCCTTTATATTGCCATATACTGATGCAATTGGCCTTAGATGATAATGCTTACCCTTAATAGTCGACACATTTTCCAAAGAAGAAAACATTAAATGAATAGAGCGATTTTTACGTTGAACGAACTTCAATCACAGTAAGCATAGAAAAAATGTTCTTGGGGGACACATAAATTTTCGTCAAGTTACCCCAGACATAAAAATGCCCTGGAAATAGTTTTTTTCCCATGTTACCTGACATGATGACATGGTGTGAAGGTCAAATCGAGGTCAACCAAATGTTATATCTGGAATTATCAGTCTGAGCCAAATGTGTCAATACAAAAATTGAAGTGCGCAACGATACTACCCCAGAAATTTTCTTACGGGTTTTAAATCGAAATTATTTTGTTTGTGGGTGACCATGATTTGACCTTTATGACGTCATATCAGGTAGCAAATGGCTCTCAATGTGCCTAAACATTCTTTATCAGCAGATTTTCGATATTTCACGACTACTTCACAACGCTGGGAGAAATCAGGACGTTTGACTCACTCTGTATATAGCCAGTTTAGCTTTCCGATACTGTCCTTTTTTATACAACTTTATGCATATAAATGTTCTTAAATAACAAAATTTTGACAACTCAATAATCTACATGATTTCTTCAAATTTTTCTTTGTACTATAAAGTTGATCCAGTGTGTGTGTTTGTTTATGTGTATGTATGTACAATGTACATGGATTATCTTGTTTCATGATTTTTGCCCAAGAAGGGAAATAAAATCATCCTGAAATAGGGCACATTTCCACTTTTTAAATAAACTTTTGACTTTGATTTTTAAAACACAAGACTTAATCAGTTAAATAAGTGAGTTGTACTTTCCACAAAGCAGGGTATGCAATTAGCATTTAATGAGGTAATCAGGGATTTAATAACAAAAAGAAAGAAAAAAGAAAATGAACTTTATTTAACATTGTCCTTTATATAACATTTGTTTCCTTAATGGGTACCCTCAGTTAGTTTGTATAAATGATGTCATCTCTGTGCTTCTCAATTGAAGTGTTGTGTATTTTCCATAGTCTTAGCTACACTTTTAAAAACGTCTGTCGCTTACATCCATTGATTAGGATGTGATGATTTTGAATATTGTTATTCTTTACCCATAACGTTGCACCTATTCTAAATTCTATGCTACTTAAATTTTTAATTTCAACCTTCGTTCCAGCATTTATACAAACTTTTTCCATAACGCCAATAATAACATCTCTTACGATTTTTAAATGTGACGTAAAGAGTCCAAAATAATCATTGTATCTTTTTATTATTTCAATAAAACTGCATAAGGAAGTAGCATCAAGGAGACGATAAGCTAAAATTTGAATACGCTAAACTAGTTCGTCGAAATTAAAAATTTTCGTGAACATATCGCGTTGGCATTCAGTATACTGCGTTACTCTTGATCATGTGTGTTAATACTGCAATATTTGAATATAATGACATAGTACCTATTAGTAAATTTTGTTGTCTTAGCTTTTATACTTGAAGTGCTTTCATAAAACTTGTATGAATTGGGTTTTGTATACGGTTATAACTTGTTAGATGTAAGCCACGTGTTATAATACAATTTAAATAATCAGGTAAATACAGTCCATAATCTATCAGTCATTGTTTGGTATGTGTGTATTTTATAGAAATTTAATATATGTCATGAGGTTATTATTTTATTGTTTCATATTGTCAATGATTTTTGATAAGTATGTATTAATCAAATATACACGCTCGCACGTATTAATGTCGTGAAAGAAAGCGTGACAATTTCGTCGTGGAGTATTTATTTTCAGCGCAAAGTTAGACAATGGGCTATCTACGCTCTGTCCACGGCGGGGAATCGAATCCCAGATTTTGCGTTTTAAGTCCTTAAACTTACTGCTGATTCACCGTTAGATGAGCATGCTAGGGAGGATGAAACTCAAGGGATGCCGTTTTCATGCTACTACATAATAGGTCGTTCTTGCTGGAAAGAAGATTTAGACTTGAAAAGCGTTGTTAATGTACTGCGGCTGTCTAGGAAAGTTTGGACAACGTTTCGAACTGCTAAAACATATCTTCATCAGGTCTGAAAAATTTATGTATTACAGCAAATTTAAAGATTTTAATAAAAACACGCTGTTCTGATTCATTTCTTAACTGGGGTAGGTCTGCATTATACTTTAATTTTAATAAATAACGGCATTTTAAGGACGAGGTAAGCAACTTAGCAGTTCGAAACTTCGTTCAAAATCTCCCTAGATAGATACCCCCCCATTATTAACGCTTTTTAAGTAGAATAAATTGTTGGCCAAATTTTTATATTTTCCAATATATATATATGTCATATTAATCTTTATTTAATTTGATGAATACAATATTAACACACACACAAATAAGTTGACTACGTGTCTGTATTGTTTACGTTATCACTAATCTCCACAGGCCACAGACAAATCTCGCTAGAGGCCGTCGCAGGCAATAACACTAGCCCTGAGACCACGTGGATTTTGTTTTGCGCGCGAATACATATGACACAGACGTAGAATGATGAGTTCTGCGCATGAATTGTGAGTCGGTGTTAGCATGAAACGGCGGTGAAATTTGTTGGATTTTAAACTGGTTTAATGTTCAGTTGAGGAGTTCGTCATTTTACTGAGGTATACAGATGGGTATGAAGTATGTCCGAACCACGACGGATAGCCTTTCAAACTGATGAAAATTTTACGAAGGAGAAAACAAAAGAATTGCTACCAACCATACGATTTTGCCTATCGCTTGGTGAGACCACCGACAAATCATGCCCGGAATACAACTATACAGACTTGGTGAAATCAGCTCGGGTAAGAACAGTGATGTTAAGCTACCTTTGTAGGTTGTGAAGGCTATACGGTTAGCTACGATTCTGCCTGTGTCGAACTTCTCCATGATGGCTTCCATATCGTTTTTCGTGGCATTTTTGGTGCAACGTTAGTTTCTTATGTAGGCATTTTAAAGATAGTGAAGGACGTTTGCTACTGGCACTCCTAAGACAGATAGCAAATATTCACTAAGTTTAATATAATGTTACTTCATTCTTTTGAGATGTCTTGGAGTTCTATGTTTTTGCATGAAAGGAAAGTAATGTTTAAATGTTAAAATTGTTAGATAATTTATATAATTTACGTGTCGCCATGTTGAAAACAACAGTGCTCGGTTCTGGCTTTTCGTCGAAGGAATGCCTGTTAGTACGGTTACGGTCGGCGACGCTAACCTCACTATCCGAAGAACCTTAAAGCCGATCATTCAGATAATTTAAAGTAGATATTTAAAAACCATCGGTCTATTATGTAAGAAAGATTATTTTAATAAGGTACAAAGACTTGGATTTTAACTTTAGAAATAAACGGCACGGCATCTAGCCCTAGATTAATGAAAACTTTGACATTATAAGTAAAAATACAATGAACTGAGTGATGAAACTGAAACAAAAGTTTGCTGTATTCTGTAACTTAGTATAAGGTGTTTTGTTTAGTAAGTTACCATTAACGTTATGACTTTTTTTTCAGTATGTGATTTGCCTCGTTTGCATTTTGGTATTAACCCTTTATTTACTACTAGTATTAACCATTCCCGATTTTAATACTTCTAGTTTTACTGAACGTAACTTAGGAGTATATGTTTTTAGAATATATGATTAAATGTAAGGAGGTAGAAAATATAAATGGAATGGTACTTGTGAATGGGTTTGCTTCTTGTATAATTTGTGTGAAGTTTTGGTAAGAGGCATAAGTCAGTAGCTTTGACATGAATCACTAGGCTATCTTCAAGGACACTTAAGGCTAAGTAGCATTTTTTTCGAATGTGGGATTTGACTTATTTAGGAGTAAGACGTAATAAATGTCGGAGTCGATTATTACGGTAGTAATATGTCACAGGTTATCCGCGGAGCTTATCATTCTCGTGCGTCGTTAGTTTTTATATAAATACAGTATTTTAATCCAGTTGTCGAGGAGGGTGGGGCGTATTGGAAGATCCCAAACAGTGAGGTAGGGGACGGTTCAGAGAAAGTAATAAAGCGTTTGTGTAAACATGTCTCATTGTGAAGTGTAGTTGTGAATTGTATTATGCCGTTCGTTTTTATTAGAATGTAGAGGGCCGTGCTAATACATATACATGTAAAATTTATTAAGGCAAATGTATTGCTTTGTGTAAATAATTATCAGAACAATGATTTGCCTTGGTAAATTTCTATATAGTTAACTATTATATTGATGTTTGATTTAAATTGATTTTTAATAACTGTATTGATAAGTTTATGTAGTTAAGTTATTCTGTTATTCGGGCATAACAATGAAGGTAAAAATAAAAAATAATTTAGATCACATTTTATGCTTTGTTGATATGTTTTGCAGAATAAGCATGTAAAGTCTATAATACTATACCCATTAGTTTTCACTTTTTTGCGCAGTTAAACGAACTCCAAGGGCTTATTTTCATCATTATTATAGGCAAGTTAGTAAATGTTTGTGTATCCTAAGTTTGATGTCATATACAAAAAATAGTCATACACACACTGACTGTATATATTAACATACCTAAAAAGATAGTAAAAATGCTGAGAAGAACTGATTCTGTTCAGGATATTTCTCTTATCTTAACATTTCCAACAAATGGGTCAGATTGTAGGAAGATGAGTTTTTTACACTAAATGTTATGCACTTGGGTTTCTAGAAAATTGGAAGAACTTTCTTTAGCTGTGAAAATAGCATTAATATTATGGAAAAAAGAGTAATAGTTAAGTGTTGGTTTTAAACTCTTAAGCAAAACTTTTTTTTTCTGATTGTTTAGCTATGGTGAAAAGAGCAAATAGTTTTGGTTCTATTTATAGTGAAGATATAATATTGTGGCAGGATATATTGAATGTGTAACAAGTTACTTTGGTCAAATAAGAGAATATTTGAATGCCAATTAGTTATGTTTATTTAAACAAACAGTTTAATGATCGTTAAGAGGTATGGGATGTTACAATTACATATGAAATTTTGGTAAAAAGGTAAACAAATTATAAACTGAATAGGATACGATAATTTAACAAAGGATTATATAATAATTCAAGGTGAACACTACCATTGCCAATAATACTGTTCCTCTTAAAAAAAATCAAAAAAAATCAGCAGTTTAGTCTTGTGTGGACATGCCCAACTTTTCTTTATATCTTACCTTGTTATCTATGCAAGTTTTAACATGTTAGCAGATGTTTTTAGCAATAGTCAGTAATCAAGATGTGTACAAACCTGTTACCTGCTTCTCACACACTGAGGATTGTTCTCAGTATGGGCCAAGCTTGGCTAGTGGTTAGTAGTTGGAGGGTCCATGGTTTGCATCCCATTAGCACAAAATTTTTACAGCACATTTTGTGGCTATTAGTACATTAGAAGAGTGAGAGTTGTTTATAAGCTGCCTTTTCCCTAGTCTCTCAGTTCAAAATTATGGATGTCTAGCACAGATAGCTTCTGTGTAGCTGTGCTTGAATATTTGAAACAAATAAGTCACCTCTGTAATGAAAAGCGATTCAGTGATAATGTCTGTGTTTGCTGATTATTGTGAATGATTTAAAATACAAAAAAATAAACTTCTCTTTGGTATTACTTTTAAATACTGTGTGATTTTAAAGTCCTTTTGGCTCAAACTTTTCCTAACTGTTTCTTATAACTGTTATTTCTTGATTTATTTTATACCTAGTTTTGATTATGCCATCACCTATCATGCATTAAAATGTAATTATGGTCAAAGTTTTCTTGCTTGGCCTTACCACAAGTAGCAAGTAGTGGATCAAAAGTTTAGAACTTTAGATGCATTACATCATCCAAAGAACAACATAAGCAGAGCATGCAGAAGGATTTGCTTCCTGTCCCATTCTGAGCATTTGAGACAAGGCAGTAATCTTAATTTATTGTCTTATCTGATTATTTTATATATTTTGTTCATAAATAGAGGACTGATTTAATAATCAGTATGGACTTAATTAATCCAATGATCTGTGTTAGCTCCCCAACATGACATAAATACCTCTTAAACTTGGTAGACTTAAATCAAACCAGTTAATTAGTTACAAGTAAGTTCAAACATGAAAAGTAACTGATTAGAAAAATTTCAAAATGTGACATCCCTACTTGAGTCGAGGCTTAAAACCAGATTTGTTAGAATACAAAGTAGTCCAACTTTCATCTTGGCTATTGTTTGGTTTAAGGTAACATTTTTCAAAGAGTTACAGAACCAAGCAATGAAAGAAAGTTTGATGGAGAAAGCTCTGACATTGTCAAGTTCACAATGAAACAGGGTGGAGGACAGAAATACTAGTGACAGATGACTCTTTACCATTAGCACCACCATGGTGGGAGGCAACTCATTCTTGGATTTCTATGGTGAAATATTTGTAGGCACCTGTGGCATTAATTATATGGGTCAAAGAGTTCATGACATAGATGTTGCTGTTTATTTATCTGTACCACTTTAACAGTGATAATATCTGTAATTGTGGTGGAAAATAATAATTTCCAGAATCATTTTAGTTACCATGGAGATTTTTATCAGTTCCAGCTAGCAGTACAGTTTGTAGTAGTGAGTGGATTTCCTAAAAAACTGGCAGTGTTATGTAGCAATGAGAATCCAGTTATTTTCACTAAATGCAGAGCAGCTATTTTTCTTACACAATGAACCCAAACTTCTTAAGAACTGAATAAGGATATATTAGTAAAAAATCTTAATTCCTAAACTCCTTAAGAACTGAATAAGGATATATTAGTGAAAAATATTAATTCCCAAACTCATTAAGAACTGAATAAGGATATATTAGTGAAAAATCCTCATTAGAAAGTGAAAATTGCATTGTACCTTCAGTAAATTATAATGATAAGCATAAATTGTTATACTGTTAAAAAAAAAGTTTTACAAGAATGTAAAACAAAAATATCCAGACCTGTATTATTTTTTTAAAACTGATTGATAAGTGCATTTTAATAAAACAGTATCTTCAGTTAAGAAAAACAAACTTAAGTTGAATATTAAATTCTCTTAATAAACTATAATTGCTGATGATTAGTTATTTAGTAAAAGACTAATTAAAACAACCTCAGTTAAATTTATGATGATTGATTAGAAAACCATAATATTCACTTAGCATACTGCAATCATATTAATTCACTTAAGTTTAACAAGATTTGTTTGTTTCATATAAGAAATTAAGACCATATACTTTGTAATATATAAAGTATTTATACACAAAAACACGCATGATATTGATAAATAAGCTTTTTCATAATTTTGGTAATGTTAACTAAAAAAAATTAATTTATTACCATTAATACCATTTCTTAATTAATAAAGTTATCAATTAATCTTTTGTGTGTTAGTAAGTTATTTGTAGCTTTCTAGTACCTATAGGTTGTAAGTTATAATGGTAAATGATATTAAAAGGGGATTAGTAACCAACTAAACTGAACATCTAATAAAATGATTGAATTTATCAGGTAGTGAATTTATTAGATAAAATATTACAAAATTTTTGTTCCAGAAGTAAAAATAAATATAACCTTTACATTAATAGTGTCTTTTTACAGCTGAACCCGTAATATTTTTGGGGTACGTGAAAGACTGGGAATATAGGGTAAGGAGCAGGTGTTTATTTCTCTGCTTAAGTTCAAATTATCTGGGACATCACACTGATCACTCTTATGAGTGTTAATATATAACTGTGTTCTTGATGACATTTATAGGAAATTTGTTGATGTGTGAAAAAAAAAGGATTTTTGAAAGTGGATTTGTGAATTTATAATGTCTTTACAAATTACAAATTGTTGTA